TAAATTAGAAAATATTATCGCAGAATACTGACTCATGTACACTATTCTCTGAATCCAAATGATCCCAGAGTACATCAGAAAACAGTTAAATGAGTATGAAAATGTATGAAGACAGATTGGCATCTCTTCTCTATACAAGGGAAAATGACTCATTCCCCCAAAGGTGAGCTAGCATCCAGCTATATTTTTTAAATACTATAACTTACTTCTGGTCCAAGTTATCTCCAAAAGCAGCAGTTATGACAGCAAGACTGCAGATGAGCAAAAATGGGACAAACAGACAATACCAGGGGCTCAAGTCTTGTCTCTGATGACATAGAACTAGTCGGACTTTGATACATTTAATTCCCACTATACCACATCTTTTACCTTCTAGGTTCACTGTCTCCCCCCCTTTCTTGGAACCTTTTCAAACTCATCCTGCCTTCACTTTTTATATGAATTATCCAGATTCTATCATCTATCACTTTGTTCATACTTTGGCAATATCCCCAAATCCCTTGAGTCATTGTTCTTCCTTCCACCTAAGTTTCTAGTCATTCATAAGTTAGCAAGAGGTGCTAAAATCAGGCCAGAACTACTTAAAGCAGGAATGTTTTCATTTCTTCAGATCCTTCCACAGTCCTGGTGTGGAATACATTTCAGTCAGTGCAGAAATCTACATGTTTCTGCACATGGAACATATACTACGTGCGTGTTCACTTTCTCAGTTCTCCTTGGCGAGCAGTTGAGAAAAGCATGTTTCCCTCTCTTCTTGCGCTATGGTGACTTTGTTCATTTGCTGGTGGCTGATAAATTCATCAGGTCAATAGTCCTGAAGCAAATGTATCTAAGAATCTTCAAAGCACCATGAGCTAATCTTTCAACATGGTTAAAACAGAGGATATACCCTCAGCCTCTGACAACTCTGGCTGAGGATGCTACAAACAGCATCACACAATTAGGAGCTCTTGTGCTCCATGACATGCTATCTCTTTGGCAGATTCAGCCAAATCTTATATAAATAATATTTAAGTGATACTCAAAAAGGCCACAATTCCTCTCTAGGAAGCAGGGATATCAGCAATTGTAAATTAACAACATGAAGTAGGAAAAGACAGTTAAGTTTTTGCTAATGGAAGGCAGAAGCAGAAGAGGGCTGACTGACACTAAGAAGATTATTCCTAGTTTTTCAATATAGCAGGCAAATGAATACAGTAGATAAATGCACTATCAATTTTATTCTTACAACACTGATAGTGACTTTAATCCTGACCTTGAAATAGCTTCTCCACACACAAAGCCTTTTTGAAATGACACTGTACTAGAAAAAAAGTGAAGCAATAATTTGTCTATTGATGAACTTTTATTTGCGTGTTTACTGTGGACCAGGCAACTAAGTGCTTTATTATCTACATCGTGCGTCACTTAATCCTTATGACAACATGAGGTTACTATTGATACCCACAGTTCATAGACAGGGAAACTGAGGCCTGGTGCTGAATCAGGTCTATTTGATCTCAGGGCCCCAACTCTTAGGCCCCATCTGAGATCACACCCCAGGTATTTTGTTTCTTCCATCTGGCTTCCTATCAGTTAACGTTCAGAGCATTTGATGTATACTGATAATTCTGAAAAAGCAGGTACTAAAAATAGTGCAGGGCAAATGACAGCAGGTAATTGATTGCTTTCAGGATCTAAGAAAATGGAAAAGCAAAATTCACAGCAAGTTCTAGGCTTCCCTATAGGAAAAGTAGACTATTGACTATGTCATGACATTTAAAGAGACCTTAAATCTTTCTTTACACAGATATTAAAGATCCTTCTGGCAGTCATTTATAGACCCAGACATTCTTACCCTTAACCTTCTTACAGGTTTTTTAAAGGAAACTTGTATCTTTTTTGTAGGGCATTTTTTTTCCTTTTTGGCCAAGCCATGAGGCATGTGGGATCTTAGTTCTCCAACCAAGGATCACACCCACCCCCTGCAGTGGAAGTGCAGAGTCTTGACCACTGGGCCACCAGGGAAGTCTCAAGGAAACCTGTGTCTTAAGTGGATCAACTGATGTGTCTTCTAGGAAATGGGACACATTAGCTTAAAAGAAGGAATTAATTCATTTACTACCATCTCTTTTCAATTAACAGAGACACTTTTCTAAGTGTTAAAATCTCTGGAAAGAGTTTCTTCCCACTCTCCTTTTTCACACTCTATATTGTCCTCATCCGTTCTCTAAGACCCTCTTGCCAAGGTGACCTTGTTGTTAAATGCCAGCGCCCCCCTCCCAGTTTGTTACAGTCTTTCTCCTAGTCTCTCCAGCAGTTGACACCACTGCCAGCTTCCTCCTCCCTCTTTTCCTGGTACCAGGGCATCATAGGCTCCTCGTTTCTTCTTTCTCTGCCTCCTCACAGTTTCTTCTGTGAACTGCCCTCTTTTACTGCCCACCATGTGTTGAAGTTCCTGAGGGCTCTGTCCCAGGCCTTTACTCTTCTCTCTGTATAAAGTTGGGGTCATCTCAGCCACTTGCATAGTTTCAGTTGCTGTATTTACACAGACCAGTTGAAATTTCTACCTTCAGCTCAGAAATCTATCGAGAGTTTCATATCCACAGGTCAAAATGTCTCCCAGATCTCTTAGACACTCTGCAGACGTCTTAAATTCCACAATTCCCCAAATTCAGCTCTTATTCTGATGTTCTCAAAAAATGGTCCACCATCTACCCAGCTGCCAAAGGAGAAACCTGGGGTGTTATAGCCCTTGTCACAATTCCTCATTCACCACATGCAATCAGCCACCACCTTCTACAGGTTCTACCTCTTTTTTTATTTTTATTTACTTATATGGCTGTGATGGGTCTTAGTTGCAGCATGCAGGATTTTTAGTTGTGGCATGCAAACTCTTAGTTGCAGCATGTGGGATCTAGTTCCCTGACCAGGGTTTGAAACTGGGCCCCCGGCAACGGGAGCGTGGAGTCTTAGCCACTGGACTACCAGGGAAGTATCACATGTTCTACTCTTAAATACTACTACTACTATTTATCTTCTACTGCTGTCTACCCTCACTATCACTAGCAGTACAAGGCATAATCTCTCCCCTTCAGAATACTGCAACTAATTGCAACCAACACCTTCCTGCTACACAGTCTTCTTTGCCCACTCTTGGAAAAAACCATATAATTTATCATCAAAATCAAATTTTACAATTGAAAGAGGGCACTATTCATATTGACAGCAGGACAACAAGCAAACACTGGATCTATTCTGGAAAAGCAGGACAGGCAATCATACTCTTAGGCTGCTCTTTCTAAAGCACATTCCTCACCATGTCACGTGTTTGCTTAAAAGGTATTCATGGCTCCCCCATTGCCTTCTGAATGATGAACAAACCTCCCAAAAGGCTTGTCATGGTTTGACCCCATCTGGCTCTCCTGCCCCACCTCTCACCCCTTTATCATCCCATCCTTCTGCCACAGGTTGTATTCCCTCCAATTTATACACTTTCCCTTGATCCTAGAATAACCTTTTGCTCTTGTATCTTCCTAAAAGTCTCTTTGTATGTTTCTCTACTACCAAATTTCTACACGGCATTCTAGTTTCAGGGTAGATGCTACATACACAGAAAGATTTTTCCAGCCCTGAGAACCAGCTAGCATGCTCCTGCGTGTGCCGCCAACACCCACCCCTACCCATGTGGCACTGCAGCTCTTAGTTTTTAACCTTTATTAGCCATCAGATTATGCTAGTGCCACAAATTTCCTACATATCAGGCACTTAACAGCATAAAAGGGATTTGGGGTTAGGGTGGAAAGGAAATAGAAAAGTGATTTGAGGGTAGGATAAATTTAGTGAGTAAGCGCTCTGTTTTTACTTGTGGTTACTCTTTTTTGGTATACATTTAGAGGAGTTAACCGGAGAAGGCAATGGCAACCCACTCCAGTACTCTTGCCTGGAAAATCCCATGGTAGCCTGGTAGGCTGCAGCCCATGGGGCCACGAAGAGTCAGACATGACTGAGCGACTTCACTTTCACTTTTCACTCTCATGCACTGGAGAAGGAAATGGTAACCCACTCCAGTGTTCTTGCCTGGAGAATCCCAGGGAAGGCAATGCCTGGTAGGCTGCTGTCTATGGAGTGGCAAAGAGTTGGACACAACTGAAGCGACTTAGCAGCAGCAGCAGCAAGGAGATAACAAATACTGTGGGGGTAGAGGGCTTAAAACTTCTCATAAACCACTAAAAATGCACTAAACCAGAAGCCTGAAGACATTTTTGACTAAAACCTCTATCAATCAGTAGTATGAACATGTACTGTTAATATCTGTGGATTTTATAACTTATAAATCAAACACATGTTCTGGTAACTAATATATGATGTCCTATCTAAACATTCACAGAAACAGAAATTAAAACTTTCCTAAAATGTAAAATAGCTGTTCTCAATTTTTCTCTATTTCAGTTGATCATCTGCTGATTCCTTTTTGAAGATCATTTTTTAAAATGGGTTTTGAAGGCAGAAACGGTAATGGGTTGGCTGCTGTAACACCAGCACCAGGACCAACACAAAGCCCAGCACATAAAAACCATCAATGTTTACTGAGCTAATGGTAGAAAGATTTGATTGGAGGATAGAATGGCTACCAGGATGAAGTCAGATCACCAGCAGGATCCTTGGGTATTCTACGGACAGTGGGGTAGGTACTATGATGAGAAGGAGCAAGATTTAGTTGGGGAAGTGTTAGGAAGAACATAACCAAATGGAGAAGTGAAAGATCTTCAAACAGAAAGATAATCTCCTCCACAGATAACCCTGGTTTCATGTTGCATATTATTATAACTTACACAATAAACCCACAAAAATTACATATTTGTTAATTCATTTGGAAGCAAAAGCATTCTGATACCAAGATGCAAAGAAACAGAATCCTAATAGCTCTGTGGTATTTACCATCACTGTGCCTCAAAAGTAAAATTAAACATTGCCCCTTTAAGTTGAAAAACCAAAAGAAGAGAGGACAAATCTTTTACCTCTTATTTTGTGTCAGTCACTCTTCTGGGTGTTTCACAGAAGTTACAAATTTGTGTCAGTACTTTTTCTGCTCTCAAGGATCTTACACTCCAACCCTAGAGAGGAGATAAGATGAGATGTAAATAAATATAAATCAAACTAGAATGAAGTAGCTTCTAGAATTAGGGTACCAATAAATTCTGAATTTTTTTTTTGTAATAGTTCCGATGTTCTGTGATTTTATTATTTTCAATGACAATGCATATAATATACAAGTAAAAGGTATTTCATTTTAAAATCTTTATATGAATTTTCCTCTCAAATAAAGGAACTGTTTGGAAAAAAATGCATATTTCTTAATATAACCATGTTACCCAATATTGGTTGCTTTAAAAAAAGGAAGCCCAAGAATACTGGAGTGGGTAGCCTATCCCTTTCCGGCAGATCTTCCTGACCCAGGAATCGAACTGGGGTCTCCTGTGTTGCAGGCAGATTCTTTACCAACTGAGCCACCAGGGAAGCCCTAAAAAAAAAGATTATATTCATGCAAGAGTAATGAAATGCTCGAGTGGCCTGGAGGAGAAAGTCTTTCACTAAGAGGATCAAAAACAGACTCATGAAGAAAGCATTCAGTTAAATACTACCACCCCCCGCTCAGCAGGGAAAAGATGGAAAGGATCTATCTCATCAAGCAACAATGACTGAGAAACTGCATTGTAGGTGGAGACACTGGGCAGGCAAATTCTTTGAATGCATATAGATAGTAACACTCACATAGTAATTAGTGTCACCATGAGAATGGGACAGTTAGGACAAGGTCAGCTTAAAGAAAAAGTTTCTTGATAAGCCCATCAACAAAAAGTTGTAATGTTCTACTCAACCATGAAAAGAATATGTTTAATTGAGTTCACTCAGTCATGTCTAACTCTTTGTGACCCCATGGCCTGCCACACGCCAGGCTTCCCTGTCCTTCACCAACTCCAGGAGCTTGCTCAAACTCATGTCCATTGATTTGGTGATGCCATCCAACCATCTCATCGTCTGTCATCCCCTTCTCCTCCTGCCTACAATCTTTCCTAGCATCAGAGTCTTTTCAAATGAGTCAGCTCTTCACATCAGGTGGCCAAAGTACTGGAGTTTGAGCTTCAGCATCAGTCCTCCCAATGAATCAGGACTGATTTCCTTCAGGATGGACTGGTTGGATCTCCTCATAGTCCAAGGGACTCTTAAGAGTCTTCTCCAACACCACAGTTCAAAAGTGTCAGTTCTTTGGAACTCAACTTTCTTTATAGTCCAATTCTCACATTCATAGATGACTACAGGAAAAACCATAGATTTGACTTGATGGACTTCTGTTGGCAAAGTAATGTCTCTGCTTTTTAATATGCTGTCTAGATTGGTCATAGCTTTTCTTCCAAGGAGCGAGTGTCTTTTAATTTCATGACTGTAGTCAACATCTGCAGTGATTTTTGGAGCCCAAAATAATAAAGTTTCTCACTGTTTCCATTGTTTCCCCATCTATTCGCAATGAAGTGATGGGACCAGATGCCATGATCTTAGTTTTTTGAATGTTGAGCTTTAAGCCAACTTTTGCACTCTCCTCTTTCACTTTCATCAAGAGGTTCTTTAGTTCTTCGTTTTCTGCCATAAGGATGGTGTCATCTGCATATCTGCAGTTATTGATATTTCTCCCAGCAATCTTGATTCCAGCTTGTGCTTCATCCAGCCTGGCAATTTGCATGATGTACTCTGCATAGACGTTAAATAAACAGAGTGACAATATGCAGCCTTGATATACTCCTTTCCCAATTTGGAACCAGTCTGTTGTTCTGTGTCCAGTTCAAACTGTTGCTTCTTAACCTGCATACAGATTTCTCAGGAAGCAGGTAAGGTGGTCTGATATTCCCATCTCTAAGAGCTTTCCAGTTTGTTGTGACCCACATAGTCAAAGGCCTTGGTGTAGTCAACAAAGCAGAAGTGGATGTTTCTCTGGTATTCTCTTGCTTTTTCAATGATCCAACGGATGTTGGCAATTTGATCTCTGGTTCCTCTGCCTTTTCTAAATCCACCTTGAACATCAGGAAGTTCATAGTTCACGTACTGTTGAAGCCTGCCTTGGAGAATTTTGAGCATTACTTTGCTAGCATGTGAGACGAGTGCAATTGTGCAGTAGTTGACATTCTTTGGCATTGCCTTTTTTGGGATTGGTAGAACCTAGGAATAAGTTTTCTTAAAACTCACTCATAATCGTTATGCAGAGCTTCTTCTGAGTGGGGGTAACAAATAAAAGGAGAAGGCAAGGGCAACCCACTCCAGTGTTCCTGCCTGGAGAATCCCAGGGACGGGGGAGCCTGGTGGGCTGCCATCTATGGGGTCACACAGAGTCGGACTTGACTGAAGCAATTTAGCAGCAGCAGCAGCAACTAATAAAAATTTCTTCCAACTAGAGCTGGAGTATGTTAAAGAGGAAAGAGATAACTTCTCTGCTCTTCATTAGTTAAAGTCATGACTTTAATCCTCCCCACACTGGAGAAGAGACAAACCAAGCTTGACACCATCACTGAAGAGTTAGCTCTTACCTGTGGCCACCTAGTCTATTACCAAGGAGGCAAGAATATAAATTCCAGTCCCCTATAATGAAAGTGCTACACTCAATATGTCAGCAAATTTGGAAAACTCAGCAGTGGCCACAGGACTGGTAAAGGTCTGTTTTCATTCCAATCCCTAAGAAAAGCAATACCAAAGAATGCTCAAATTACCGCACAATTGCACTCATCTCACACACTAATAAAGGAATGCTCAAAATTCTCCAAGTCAGGCTTCAGCAATATGTGAACCATGAACTTCCAGATGTTCAAGCTGGTTTTAGAAAAGGCAGAGGAACCAGAGATCAAATTCCCAACATCTGCTGGATCTTCGAAAAAGCAAGAGAGTTCCAGAAAAACATCTATTTCTGCTTTATTGACTGTGCCAAAGCCTTTCACTGTGTGGATCACAACAAACTGTGGAAACCTCTTAAAGAGATGGGAATACCAGACCACCTGACCTGCCTCTTGAGAAACCTATATGCAGGTCAGGAAGCAACAGGTAGAACTGGACATGGAACAACAGACTGGTTCCAAATAGGAAAAGGAGTACATTAAGGCTGTATATTGTCACCCTGCATATTTAACTTACATGCAGAGTACATCATGAGAAACGCTGGGCTGGAGGAAGCACAAGTTGGAACCGAGATTGCCAGGAGAAATATCGAAAACCTCAGATATGCAGATGATACCACCTTTAATGCAGAAAGTGAAGAAGAACTAAAGAGCCTATTGATGAAAGTGAAAGAGGAAAGTGAAAAAGTTGGCTTAAAGCTCAACATCCAGAAAACTAAGATCATGGCATACAGTCCCATCACTTCATGGCAAATAGATGGAGAAAGAGTGGCTGACTTTAGTTTTGGGGGCTCCAAAATCACTGCAGATGGTGATTGCAGCCACAAAATTAAAAGACACGTACTCCTTGGAGGGAAAGTTATGACCAAACTAGATAGCATATTAAAAAGCAGAGACATTATTTTGTCAACAAAAGTCCATCTATGGACTTTGGTTTTTCCAGTAGTCATGCATGGATGTGAGAGTTGGACTATAAAGAGAGCTGAGCACAAAAGAATTGATGCGTTTGAACTGTGGTGTTGGAGAAGACTCTTGAGAGTCCCTTGGACTGCAAGGAGATCCAATCAGTCCATCCTAAGGGAGATCAGTTCCGGGTGTTCATTGGAAGGACTGATAATGACACTAAAACTCCAATACTTTGGCCACATGATGTGAAGAGCTGATTCATTGGAAAAGACCCTGATGCTGGGAGAGACTGAGGGCAGGAGAAGGGGACGACAGAGGATGAGATGGTTGGATGGTGACACCGACTTGGTGGACATGAGTTTGGGTAAACTCCGGCAGTTGATGATGGACAGGGAGACCTGGCATGCCGCAGTTCCTGGGGTGTCAGAGTCAGACACAACTAAGAGACTGAACTGAACTAAGAATATACAATGGAGAAAAGACAAGCTCTTCAATAAGTGCTTCTGGGAAAACTGGACAGCTACATATAAAAGAATAAAATTAGAACCATCCCTAATCCCATAGACAAAAATTAATTCAAAATGGATTAAAGACTTAATGTAAAGCCAGACACTATAAAATTCTTAGAGGAAAACACAGTCAGAACTCTCTTTGACATAAACCACAGCAAGATCTTTTTCTGACACCTCTCCTAGAGTAATGAAAATAAAAATAAACAAATAGGACCTAATTAAACTCAAAAACTTTTGCACACAAAGGAAACCATAAACAAGACAAAAAGACAACCCTTAGAATGGGAGAAAATATTTGCGACTGAAACAACTGACAACAGATTAATCTCCAAAATATACAAACAACTCATGTAGCTCAATATTAAAAAAACAAACAACCCAATCTAAAAATGGGTGGAAGACCTAAACAGACTTTTTTCCAAAGAAAACATACAGATGGCCAATAGGCACATGAAAAGATATTCAACATCACTAATTATTAGAGAATTGCAAATCAAACTACAATGAGGTATCACTCACACCTGTCAGAATGACCATCATCATCAAAAAATCTATAGACAATAAATGCTGGAGAGGGTGTGGAGAAAAGTATATCCATCTGCACTGTTGGTAGATGTATAAATCGGTAGAACCACTATTGACAACAGTATGGAGGCTCCTTAAAAAAACAAAAATAGAACTACAATATGACCAAGCAATCCCACTTCTAGGCATACATCCCAAGAAAACCATAATTCCAAAAGATACATGGCCCTCAATGTTCATGCAGCACTGTTTACAATAGCCAAGACATGGAAGCAATTTAAAAGTCCATCAACAAAGAAAAAGACAAAGATGTGATACATGTATACAATGAAATATTAGCCATAGAAAGGAATGAATTTGTAGAGATATGGATGAACCTAGAAGAGACTGTCATACAGAGTGAAGTAAGTCAGAAAAGAGAAACACACATATTGTATATTAGATCATATAAGTGGATCTAGAAAAATGGTACAGATGAACCTACTTGCAAAGCAGAAATGGAGACACAGATGTGGAGAACAAACTATGGACACTAAGTGAAGAAAGACAGGTGGGATAAGCTGGGAGGTTGGGATTGACATGTATATATTATGCTCTGCTGTGCTTAGCCACTCAGTCATGTCCTACCCTGGAAAAGGCAGTGGCACCCACTCCACTACTCTCGCCTGTAAAATCCCATGGACAGAGGAGCCTGGTAGGCTGCAGTCCATGGAGTCATTAAAAGTCAGACACGATTGAGCGACTTCATTTTCCCTTTTCCCTTTCATGCATTGGAGAAGGAAATGGCAATCCACTCCAGTGTTCTTGCCTGGAGAATCCCAGGGACGGGGGAGCCTGGTGGGCTGCCATCTATGGGGTCGCACTGAGTCGGACACAAGTGAAGCGACTTAGCAGCGGTAGCAGCAGCATGTCCTTCTCTTTGCGGCCCTATGGATGTAGCCTCCAAGGCTCTTCTGTCCATGAGATTCTCCCGGCAAGAACACTGGAGTGGGTTGCCATGCCTCTTCCAGAGGATCTTCCAAACCCAGGAATAGAACCTGCAGCTTCTGCAGCTCCTGCATTGCAGGCAGATTCTTTATCGCTGAGCCACCAGGGAAGCCCTGACATGTATACACTACTAGATATAAAACAGATAACTAATGAGAACCTACTATATACGCACAGCACAGGGAACTCCGCTCTGTGCTCTGTGGTGGCCTAATGGGAGGGAAATCCAAAAAAGAGGGGACATGTGTATCCATACAGCTGATTCAGTTTTCTGTACAGCAGAAACTATTGCAACGTTGTAAAGCAACTATACTCCAATAAAAATATAATAAAAAAGAGTTAGGTATTGACCCCCCATCAGAGACATGCTAGGTGTTGACAAAAGTTGCTGAGAGATAGAAGCAGAGTTCTGTTGGTCATCACGGTAACCACTGACATTTTCTCTTTCTAAAGCTAGTGAAAACATGGCCAAAAGAAGGAAGGAAAAAAACATTCACAAGGTAATATCAGCAAGGAAAATTGCCCAAGCGACACAAGTAGTGATATCTACCTTCCAAGATGAAAAAGACAGATCCAGTACATAGGCAAACATGTCATCATTTCTTATTGTTTTATTTTATTTTTAACTGGAGTATAACTACTCTATAATATTGTCATGGTTTCCACCATATCAACATGAATCAGCCATATCTGAAGTTTTGAATGGATTTTATCAAAGAAATTTGAAGTATTTTTAATGACTCAAAATAGTAGCAATGATGAATAGGATTTGGGCAGAAATAAGGGATTCATTTCTATAGGTGAAAATAATCAATATATTTGTGAATATTTCTCAATTTCATATATTTTCCTTAAGATTTCTGTCTAAAGTAACTTTTCACACCTCTGTCATGCCATAAATTCACCACCATTGATGTCAGAAAAAAAAATGTTCTGGCCAGATAACAGCAAAGGAAGTTACCCATAGGCACATGAAGAAAGGTGAAAAGTGTTTGTAGTCTGTCAGAAGTTAACCAGGAAAGAAATTATTTTCTTTATATCTACCTCACTTCCAATAATAACATTAAATTGCTCAACATATGTAAACAACATAGTGTTCATGTTCCTTGAGAGAAAGAACCAAACCTGATAGAGTCTTGTCATGTTCAGTGGGGGGTAGATTATGTGAGTTAGAGCAATGTTTCACAAGTCACAGGCAAACACAAGCCCCATGACTTGAATTCCAATGCTCTGATTCAGGAGCACTGGCTGTTTTTCCAGGGTGACAGAAATGAAAGTCACAATTTCTTACTTTTTTCTGAAACTAAGACAAGAAGCTGATATGACCTGGTAGCTGGAATATCTAATGAGTGTGAGTTCCTCTCTCTGGAAGAATGTTTCAGATTTTCATAAAAACATTTCATCTTCAGATTCATTCTACTAATTTTTAAGAGATTTATACATACAATAAATTTTAAGTGTACAATTCAATGATTTCTAGCAAGTGTACAGAGTTGTGTAACCATCACCACAATCCAATTTTAAAACATTTCAATCACTCCAAAATGAAACTTCATGTCTATTTGCAGGTACCCTTTACTCCCACTCCAACTCCCCAAGAAAATTAATCTACTCACTGTCACTATAAAAATTACCTATCGTGGACGTTTCTTTCAATAAACTTCTACAATATGTGATCTTTTATGTGTGGGTTCTATCACCTAATATAGTAGTTTTGAAGGTCATCCACACTGTAGCATGCATCACTACTCTATTCCTGTCACTGCTCAAGAATATTCTGTTGTACAAATACACCAGTTTTTGTTTATCTCTTCATGAGTTGATGGACATCATGGATGGCCTCTTCTTGGGGGCTAACATGAATAATGCTGCTAATGAACACTTACATACAAGTCTTTACGTGGATATAAGACTTCATTTCTCTTAAGGAGATAATTAGGAATGAAATTGTTGGGTCAAATATTTATTTATGTTTAACATTTCTAGAAACTGCCAAATGGTATTGCAAAGTAGGTGCAGCATCATTTCACCTAACTTCTAATTTACTGAGCGTCAGATAACTACCATTGTGCTTTGAACCAGCCTTGATTTCTTAAGCCAAGTGGACTTTAAACCTCTGCCAATTCTTATCCTTTTCTACTATGCACTATCATTTTCTATTCTATACATTGTTCATTGTTCAGTTGCTAAGTCACATCTAACTGCAACCCCATGGACTGCAGCATGCCAGGCTTCCCTGTCCTTCACTATCTTCTGGACTTTGCTCAAACTCATGTCTATTGAGTCAGTGATGCTGTCCAAACATCTTATCATCTGTTGCCCCCTTCTCCTCCTGCCTTCAGTCTTTCTTAGCATCAGGGTCTTTTCCAATGAGTTGGCTCTTTGCATCAGGTGGACAAAGTATTGGAGCTTCAGCATCAGTCCTTCCAATGAATACTCAGGGTTAATTTCCTTTAGGATTGACTGATTTGATCTCAAATGCAGTCTAAGGGACTCTCAAGAGTCTTCCCCAGCATCAATTCAAAAGCATCAACCAGCCCAAGTTGGATGCATGAGACAAGTGCACTGGGAAGACTCAGAGGGATGGGATGGGGAGGGAGGCGGGAGGGGGGATTGGGATGGGGAATACATGTAAATCCATGGCTGATTCATGTCAATGTATGGCAAAAACCACTACAATATTGTAAAGTAATTAGCCTCCAACTAATAAAAATAAATGAAAAAAAAAAAAACAAACAAAAACAAAAGCATCAATTCTTCAGCACTCAGCCTTCTTTATAGTCCAAGTCTCACATCCATACATGACTCTGGGAAAAACCATAGTTTGACTATACGGACCTTTGTTGGCAAAGTGATATCTCTGCTTTTTTAACACGCTGTCTAGTTTGTCATGGTTTTTCTTTCAAGGAGCAAGAGTCTTTTAATTTCGTGGCTGCAGTCACTGTCCACAGTGATTCTTGAGCTCAGGAAAATAAGATCCGTCACTATTTCCACTCTATGTTATGTATTACAAAAGTGATATAATTTGATGAAATTAAATATTGGTTACTTGGAACCATTAAAAAATTTGAATACAAATGGGCTTTGAAAAGTTAGCTTCCTGTTTTTGTAAAGTTGCTTGAAAATGTCAGAAATGTTCATAACTCTGTTACATTTACTGTGAAGAGTTCCATCAAAGTGGTGAAGGGCTGAAGACTAATAAGCATGTTTGTGATTCGGGAAGGTCCTTCAGCCAGTCATCTCTGTAGAGAGACAGAGGATAGTTCTTAGATTTAGTCTTTAGAGTGGTGTGGCATTTTGTGAAAAACAACGTTTTGTGTGAGACTGTTGCCTCAGTAGCCCAGGAAAGAAGGTAAAGAAGGAAGGAAACTAAAGCCTGTTCACAGATGGACATGTATCTTTTCTCCTTGAACGACTTCTGCACTGTCAACCTCACAAGAGCCAAGCTACAACCATGACTTTAAGCAGAGTTCTTAATACCAGGACTGAGGGATTCAACTTTTCACAGGGAGAGAAAATGTAAATTTGATTTTTTGAAAAAAAGGAAAAAAAAGGAAGAAAAAGCCACATTTAATGGAAGAACAAGGCCGCCCTCTAGTGGATAATTCAAAAATTGGGTTTCTACAGTCTAATTAGGGATTTTACACAATAAAATACCATGATAAATCAGCTCAGTTCAGTCGCTCAGTCATGTCCAATTCTGTGCAACTCCAGCACACCAGGCTTCCCTGTCCATCACCAGCTCCCGGAACTTGTTCAAACTCATGTCCATCGAGTCGGTGATGTCATCATAGATATATACCAAGAGCTATAAAATAAAATGCCAATAATTAGCTCTTATTTACATTTGAAGCTCACTAAAACTTGAAAAGAATTCCCCAATATTTCAAGAAGAGTGGGAAAGCTCACAGTCACCAATTATACATTTTAAAGTAAATGTAGCTAATAGAAGAAAGTGAAAGAAGGCAAACTTCTAGAAGTATGGAAAAAATTTAACAGGGACACTGTATCATAATCCTCAACACCATACGAACCACCATGGTGGCCAGGCCATCAGAGTGCGGGGTATTCATCCCCCAGGAGCCCTGTGGTTTGGCCATTTTCCAGGGTCAGAAGACAAAAAGCGTGACAATCAGGTCATTTTCAAAGACAATATAGGATTCTTATAACCATATATAATAGTCTTCAAATTGCACAGCTTTTATTACGAGTTAATTAAAATTCTTGGAGAAGGAAATGGCAACCCACTCCACCATTCTTGCCTGGGAAATCCACGGACAGAGGAGCCGTGCAACAAATCATATGCACTTTGAGCCCATCACTCAATAGGCATCAACAGTTGCTTTTGGAGTAATTCACTGAACCCAGTGAGTAAGGCAGATGGAGATGGTGATTGCAGCCATGAAATTAAAAGACGCTTGCTCCTTGGAAGGAAAGTTATGACCCTAGATAGCATATTAAAAAGCAAAGACATTACTTTGCTAACAAAAGTCTGTCTAGTCAAAGCTATGGTTTTTCCTGTAGTCATGTATGGATGTGAGAGTTGGACTATAAAGAAAGCTGAGTGTCAAAGAATTGATGTTTTTGAACTGTGGTGTTGGAGAAGACTCTTGAGAGTCCCTTGGACTGCAAGGAGATCCAACCAGTCCATCCTAAAGGAGATCAGTCCTGGGTGTTCACTGGAAAGACTGATGTTGAAGCCCAAACTCCAATACTTTGGCCACCTGATGCGAAGAGCTGACTCATTTGAAAAGACCCTGATGCTGGGACAGATTGAGGGCAGGAGGAGAAGGGGACGACAAGGATGAGATGGTTGGATGGCATCACCGACTCAATGGACATGGGTTTGGGTGGACTCCAGTGCTGCAGTTCATGGGGTCGCAAACAGTCAGACACGACTGAGCGACTGAACTGAACTGAACTGAACTGAAAGCAGAAAAGGGCACATGAAATGCATATTAGAGTTCCTACAGTGATCTTGCTTTTAGTCTCATTGCTGACTTTTGGCAGATTTAGAAATTACCATTTGAAAAACAGCACTATGAAATAGTAACCGATCAGACATGGGGAAAAGCAAAATAAGACTTACAAAGATGAAGTGTGTGGGGGTGAAGGGTGGGGCTGGGTGTAATGCTTGGGTGCGTAAAGGATAGGATGCTTAAAAGACACTCTGGGTTGCAAAAAAATAAAACTTCTTATTTTTCTACGGCTCAACCTTAATTTCAACATCCTATTCCCTGTAACTACAGAAAATTGATTATTCAAAACAAATAACTAAGGTTTTCTCAGTCTTTTTTTAAAATATAGTTCCCTGTGCTACACAGGAAATCCTCGCTGCTTATTTACTTTCTTTTTTTTTTGCCATGCCACAAGGCATACAGGATCTTAGCTCCCTGACCAGAGATCAAAGCTGTGCCCTCTGCATTGAGAGCACAGAGTCTTTACCCCTGGACCACTGGGGAAGTCCCTCTCAGTCTTTTTCAATTTAAACTTAGCATAAACTGAGTTTAAACTCCCATACCCCCTCCTCTGCTTCATTCCTTCATCATTTGTGGGGTTGAGAGGCTAACAAAAGCAGTTAAAATTTGTCGAGCTCTGCCCCATCCTCAGGCAACTAATCTGCTTTCTATCATGATAGACAGGTCTGCATTATATAAATGGATTACACACTATGTACTCTATTTGCCTTTTTTCATTCACTAACAGAATCATTTTGAGATCCATTCATATCGCTACATAAATCAATAATGCATTCCTTTCTACTGAATGATTATAATTTTAATTTCTATCCAGTTAATAGAATATTGGTTGTTTCTGGTTTTTAACTACCACAAATACAGCCATTAGGAATCACTTCAGTTCAGTCGCTCAGTTGTGTCCACTCTTTTGACCCTTTAGACTGCACATGCCAGGCTTCCCTGTCCATCACCAACTACCAGAGCTTGCTCAAACTCATGTTCATTGAGTCAGTGATGCCATCCAAATATCTCATCCTCTGTCATCCCCTTCTCCTCTGTTCAATCCTTCCCAGCATCAGGGTATTTTCCAATGAGTCAGTTCTTCACATCAGTGGCCAAAGAATTGGCATTTCAGCTTTAGTAACAGTCCTTCTAATGAATATTAGGATTGATTCTCTTTAGGATGGACTGGTTGGATCTCCATGCATTCCAATGGATTCTCAAGAGTCTCTCCAACACCACAATTCAAAAGCATCAATGCTTTGGTGCTCAGCTTTCTTCATAGTCCAACTCTCATATCCATTCATGACCACTGGAGAAATCATAGCCTTGACTAGATGGAACATTGTTGGCAAAGTAATGCCTCAGCTTTTTAACATGCTGTCTAGGTTGGTCATGACTTTTCTTCCAAGGAGCAAGTGTCTTTTAATTTCATAGCTGCAGTCACCTTATGCAGTGAATTTGGAGCCCAAGAAAATAAAATCTGTCACTGTTTCCACTATTTCCCCTTATATTCACCATGAAGTAATGGGACTGGCTCTCATGATCTTTGTTTTTTGAACGTTGAGTTTTAAATCAGCTTTTTCACTCTCCTCTTTCACGTTCATCAAGAGGCTCTTTAGTTCTTCTTCGCTTTCTGCCATAAGATGGTGTCATCTGCATATCTGAGGTTATTGATATTTCTCCCAGCAATCTTAATTCCAACTTGCTTGATGTACTCTGCATATAAGTTAAATAAGCAGGGTGACAATATACAGCCTTGACGTATTCCTTTCCCAATTTGGAACCAGTCTGTTGTTCCATGGCCAGTTCTAACAGTTGCTTCTTGACCTGCATACAGATTTCTCAGGAGGCAGGTAAGGTGGTCTGATAGTCCCATCTCTTGAAGAGTTTTCCACAGTTTGTTGTGATCCACAGAGTCAAAGGCTTTGGCATAATCAATAAAGCAGTAGTAGATGTTTTTCTGATATTCTCTTGCTTTTTCAATGATCCACAGAAGTTGGCAATTTGATCTCTGGTTCCTCTGCCATTTCTAAATTCAGTTTGAATATCTGGAAGTTCTCAGTTCACATAGTGTTGAAGCCTGGCTTGGATAACTTTGAACACTACTTTGCAAGCATGTGAGATGAGTGGAATTGTGTGGTAATTTGAACATTCTTTGGCATTGCCTTTCTTTGGGATTGGAATGAAAACTGACCTTTTCCAGTCTTGTGGCCCTGCTGAGTTTTCCAAACTTGTTGGCATATTGAGTGCAGCACTTTCACAGCATCATCATTTAGAATGTAAAATAGCTCATCTGGAATTCCATCACTTCCACTAGTTTTGTTCATAGTGATGCTTCCTATGGCCCACTTGACTTTGCATTCCAGGATGTCTGACTCCGGGTGAGTGATCACACCATTGTGGTTATCTGTGTCAGACAGATCTTTTTTGTATAGTTCTTCTGTGTATTCTTGCCACCTCTTCTTAATATCTTCTGCTTCTGTTAGGTCTATACCATTTCTGTCCTTTATTGTGTCCATCTTTGCATGAAATGTTCTCTTGGTATCTCCAATTTTCTTGAAGAGATCTCTAGTCTTTCTCTTTCTGTTGTTTTCCTCTATTTTTTGCACTGATCACTGAGAAAGGCTTTCTCATCTCTCCTTGCTATTCTTTGGAATTCTGCATTTATATGGGCATATCTTTTGTTTTCTCCTTTGCCTTTAGCTTCTCTTTTTCTCTCAGCTATTTATAAGGCCCCCTCTGACAACCATTTTGCCTTTTTGCACTTCTTTTTCTTGGGGATGGTATTGATCACTTCCTCCTGTATAATGTCACGAAACTCCGTCCATAGTTCTTTCTTCAGGCACTCTGTCTATCAGATCTAATCCCTTGAATCTATTTCTCACTTCCACTGTATAATTGTAAGGGATTTGATTTAAGTCACACCTGAATGGTCTAGTGGCTTTCCCTATTTTCTTCAATTTAAGTCTGAATTTGACAATAAGGAGTTCATGATCTGAGCCACAGTCAGTTCCTGGTCTTGTTTTTGCTGACTGTATACAACTTCTCCATCTTTGACTGCAAAGAATATAATCAATCTGATTTCGGTGTTGACCATCTGGTGACGACCATGTGTAGAGTCTTCCCTTGTGTTGTTGGAAGAGGGTGTTTGCTATGACCAGTGAGTTCTCTTGGTAAAACTCTGTTAGCCTTTGCCCTGCTTCATTTTGTACTCCAAGGCCAAATTTGCTTGTTACTCCAGGTGTTTCTTGACTTCCTACTTTTGCATTCCAGTCCCCTATAATGAAAAGGACATATTTTTGGGGTTTTAGTTCTAGAAGGTCTTGTAGGTCTTCATAGCATTGTTCAACTTCAGCTTCTTCAGCATTACTGGTTGGGACATAGACTTGGATTACTGTGATATTGAATGGTTTGCCTTAGAAATGAACAGAGATCATTCTGTCATTTTTGAGACTGCACACAAGTACTGCATTTCAGACTCTTTTGTTGACTATGAGGGCTACTCCATTTCTTCTAAGGGATTCTTGCCCACAGTAGTAGATATAATGGTCATCAGAATTAAATTTGCCCATTCCAGTTCATCTTAGTTCACTGATTCCTAAAATGTCAATATTCACTCTTGCCATCTCCTGCTTGACCAGGTCCAATTTGCCTTGATTCATGGACTTAACATTTCATGTTCCTATGCAATATTGCTCTTTACAACATCAGACTTGATTTCCA